CTGGGAGCAGAGTGCATCCTTTGAACGTGAGGTTCCTGCGCTGAGATGCTCCCAGACCAAGGGAAGACTGATGACAAGGACCTTCCTCCAGAGCAGACAGAGAAAGCCTTCCCCTGGAGCTGGTGCCCTGAATTTGGACTTCTAGCCTACTGGACTGTGAGAGAATAAATTTCTCTTTGCTAAAGCCCTCCACTTGTGGTATTTCTTTATAGCAGCACTAGATGACCAAGACATACATACAGGGGAATATTACACAGCTATAAAGAATGATGAGTTCTTGAAACATCTTGGAACATGGATGAACCTAGAGGACATTATGCTGAGCTACATAAGTCAATCACAAAAGGACAAATACTGTATGATCTCACTTTTATAAATGACAAGAACAGCTATATATACAGAGACCAATGTTCATTGGTGGTTACCAGGGTGGGGAGAAGAAGTTCATTCTATAGACAGTAGTCATTTTTTACTTATGGTGATGGAAAACGTAGCAGTGAATATGGGAGAAATGTATACAACTTAACCAGGTTAACTTGACACCATTAGGTTGTATTCACACACACACGCGCAAAGGATGTTTAGGTAAGTGCTGTGTTTAATTTTGTAACAGTAACAAAAATATGTGTATGTCTTTATATGTATACATATATATGTGTATAAATACATGTCTCTGTGTGTACACAACTTAGTGGCGTCAGTTAACTTGGTTAAATAAGGGTCACAGAAACTGATACTGATACTTCATAAACATAACCAGTCACCTCATGGGATCAGTTTCCTTGGGTTGAAGACTTTGGGTCATAGTCTCATGGGACAACTCCATCAGTTGGCATAATATAGTTCATAAAGTTTATGTTCTACATCCTAGTCCGGTGAGTAGTATCTAGGGTTTTAAAAGCTTGTGAGCAGCCATCTAAAATACAACCATTGGTCTCTGCTCATCTGGAGCAAAAGAAAAAGAAGGAAATCCAAGACTCAGAGAAGGAACCACTCTACAGGACTAATTTTCTACATGAACCATAGCCCTTCTACCCTGAGACCAGAAGAACAAATGGTGCCTGGCTACCACTACCAAATATTCTGATCAGGACCACAATCAGATAGATCATGAGAGGAAGGGAGAAAAATGTGGAACAGAACTTCAAATTTTCAAAACATTCAGACTTACTGGACCCCTGGTGGCACAGCGGTTAAGTGCTATGACTGTTAACCGAAAGGTCAGCAGTTCAGATTCACTCCCTGGAAACCCTGTGGGGCAGTTCTACTCTGTCCTGTAGGGTCACTATGAGTTGGAATCGACGTGATGGCAATGGGTTTGGGTTTGGTTTGGACCCTGTGAGACAGGAGGAATCCCTGCAGTTATTGCCTTGAGATATTCTTTAAGCCTTGAACCGAAACTATTACCTGAAGTGACCTTTTAACTAAATAGCTGGTTAGCCCATAAAGTAATGAATATACCACGCTGTTTTAAAAAAAACATCTATATGAGACTGTCATGGATTGAATTATGTCCCCCCAAAAATTATGTGTCAGTTTGGCTGGGCCATGATTCCTGGTACTGGGTGATTTTCTTGTATGTTGTAAATCCTGCCTCTATGATGTTAATGAGGGAGGTTGGGTGGCAGTTGTGTTAGTAAGGTAGGACTCAGTTTACAAGACTGGATTATGTCCTGAGGCAGTCTCTTGAGATACAAAAGAGAGAAGTGAGCAGAGACGGGGACCTCATACCATTGAGAAAGCAGTGCTGGGAGCAGAGCGCGTCCTTTGGACCAGGGTCCCTGCGCTGAGAAGCTCCTAGTCCAGGGGAACACTGATGAGAAGGCCGAGAGAGAAGAAAGCCTTCCCCTGGAGCTGACGCCCTGAATTTGAACTTTTAGCCTACTTTAAGGAAATAAACTTCTCTTTGTTAAAACCATCCACTTGTGGTATTTCTGTTACAGCAGGACTAGATAACTAAGACAGAGACCAAGTGGTAAACACTCTAAAGTGTAGATGAGATGGTTGGGGGGCTCAGAGAGTAGGTTAATAGGAAGGGAACAACTAGAATGGAAATAATGAGAATGTTGATACAGTGAAGGAATGTAACAAATATCACTGAACAATATGTGTAGAAATTGTTGAATGGAAACCTGTTTGCTATGTACAGTTCTACAAAAAATACAATGAAATACTATTTTAAGAAAAGGGGGGAAAAGCTACAAAGAAGTTGGAAGAATTTAACAACGAACCATCCATATACTAGCCACCTAATCTATATGTGGATGTGGATGGAAGTATTTCCTGAAGCATTAGAAAGGAAGTTAGAGTGGACACCTCAAGTCCGGTGTCTCCAAGAGTTAAAAAATGCCCTTTATAGTTTTTTTTTAAACCCAGGATCCAGTCAGGTTCTTGCATTGTACTTGGATGTTATGTCTCTTTGTTATTGTTGTTGTTAATTTCTGTTGAGTCAGCTCTGATTCATGGCAACCTTGTATACAACAGAACTAAACGTTGCCCAGTCCTGTGCCGTCTTCACGGTTGTTGGTATGTTTGAGTCCGTTGTTGTGGCTATTGTGTTATTCCATCTCATTGATGGGGTCCCTCGTTTTTGTTGGCCCTCTGCTTTTCTAGTGATTGGCTTTTTCTGATGACATGTCCAAAGAAGCAAATCAAAGTCTTACCATCCTCACTTCTAAGAACATTCTAGTTGTATTTCTTCAAAGACTTATTTGTACATTCTCCTGCAGTCCTCAGCATATTCAGTATTCTTAGCCAACACTACAATTTGAATGCATTAGTTCTTCTTCTGTCTTCCTTTTTCATTAATCTTCACTTGCGTATGAGGTGATTGAAAAGACCATGGCTTGAGTCAGACACACCTTAGTCATCAAAGTGACACCTTTGGTTTTTAAACTTTAAAGAGGTCTTTTGCAGCAGATTTGATCTCTTGACTACTGCTTCCAAAGACATCGATTGTTGATTGTCTCTATTTCAGTCCCATTTTCTTCCCTGGCCTTGGTTTTTTAAGGAGTGAGCAGGTGAGTGATCTTATAGCCTGTCCTCAGCCTTTGCCTTTCCTCTTAGTGGACCAGACTTTTGTGACCCTTCATCACCCTATGGCCCTGTTATAGAATGTCCCAACCCCATCTCTGTCTCTGTGGATGTGTAGACCTATTTTCCTGCTCAAGGTCTCAGCCACAGCTAGACCATGACTTCATCCCAGGATATTTCACAGCATCTTTAGGGCTTTTTTGGATACCACCCTGACCTTCCCTTCCTGGGGAATTGAGCAGTCTCAGGTGGGATGCTGGCCAGCAGACGAGGACTAGGCATCAGAGAGCAGGGAGAATCCACAGGGGACACTTTCCAGCTGCAGTTCTTGGGTAAGGAGTTATATCTTACATCAAAGATAGGTTTAAGAATAACTTTCTGTTGCCTGTGCCAAAAGCACGTGAGGCTTCCCAGCCACTTGGAGGCCCTGATTCCTGTGGGAGTAAAGCATTCTGGAAGGAAGCCTGGCCTTTTCCTTAACCGACAAGGGCGAGTTCTCTTTATGAGAAACCAGGAGCTCTTAGCCATATAGATCCTGAGTACTAAGTAAAGACTGCCCTCTGGGAGTCCCATCACACCTCCAACATCATGTGGGGCCTCGCCCCAGGCAGGCCTGCCCTCTCAACAGTCAGCCCCTGGGTCCTTGGCCACTGGCTAAACTGGAACCCCCTTGTCAGTTGTTCTTTGGTGACCAGCATTGGAGCAGCTCCGTGTTCCTGCCCTGTGGCGCTTGTGTCCATTGCTGCCTTCAGCTTCCTCCACTGCTCCCCCAACCCCCACATCTCCAGAGCCCACCCCTCACTCCCAAGTCGTCTCTGACCCCTCTGAGGTCATGTTCCCTGCAGGTCGCACAGCAAGGCCACCCATCTCCATGCTTCAAGCCCTGGGCCCGCATTCGCACCCTCTGCGCTATCGTAGGAGGAATTTATGGAGGAACACTAGGAAATACAGACAACTTTGAAGAAGAGTCTAGAAATCTCTGGCATGCTAGCCACCCAGAAATAATCGATAGTAATGTGTTGCTTTTTTTCCATATTTTTTTCTATGCATTCATATTTATGCGTATATGTTTTAAATCTGTATCATGATTTATACATTGTACATTTTTTCACTTGCAGTATTTTGCAAGTTCTATCTATGGCACAAATATTCTTAGAAAAAATTTTTTTTAATATACTCTAACTTATTCAACCACTGCTTTCGGGTAGACATTTTGGTTTTTTTCTGTTTATTTTGCTGGTATAACACAAGTTACAACGTTTTTGTGCCTAAATATTATTGTTATTTTGGCTAGATTACTGGAGATGGTATGTTGGGAATATTTAGGATTTTTAATACTCATTACCAAATTGCTTTCCAAAGAGCGTTGTGCCAGTTTGTAGTCTCCCAGCCCTGTGTGGACGTGCTGTCTCACTCCCCTACCCCTGTGCTGGGCGCCATCTTCTGTCCTACCTCTGCATCCCTGGGCACGGGGCCTGGGACTCGTGGATGTTTGACTCCCAATCCCACTCTCCACCGGGTAAATATCCCTGTACACAGACGTCCAGCTGCGAATTCTATGAGCATTAACCTGTCCAGCGGGGTGCTGCACACAGATTTAACCATCTTCCCTAATTTTACTGATGGGCCACCTCCTGCTGCTGCTGCAGCGTGTTTCTCTTTGATGCAGGGGTGCAGGCCACAGCCCCTACGCTTGCACCTTAGTAGTCCTGCTGTCACCTGCCTTAGGTGTTGGCATTCAGCCTGAGATTATTGCCAGAAAAATCTGCTGCTGAAAAAGATTGAAGACCACTTCTGGTGCTTAACCCATGAGCCTGCTCATGTGCAGTGTGCCTTCCCACCCATGACAGCCAGGGTGCCTGAGGGTGCTCTGGGGACTGGGTCTCCAGCCACTCTTCCTTCTGCAGGTGTTAGGGCTGCACGAGCATAACACGAACGTCCTCCCTCCCTCTCTCCTTGATACACAGCTCACCCGCCGACTGCCGCCCATCAAGGAAGCCAAGCCGCGGCTACAGAAGCTCTTCCGGGACTTTTGGCTCTACTCTGTCCTGATGGGGTTCGCCGTGGAGGGCTCAGGTAGGGTGGTGCTCTCTCTCCCAAGGACGGCCGACTGCAGACTGAGAACAAAGGTGAAGTAGGGCTCAACCTAACAAAAAATGTGGACACGTTCAAAATTGTCCACACTCAGCCACTGCTTCCAAGTATGTGCCAGTGTTCCACTTCCCAGATGTAGTTCAGGGCTAGAGACAACCTCATATCTTAAGAGAACCTAACCCCAGTTAGGTAAAGACTGTTTTGTGCTACATGTTTGGGATTGTTGTTAGCTGCAATCGAGTCAGCATGCACAATGGGATCGGACTACTGTAATGCATAGGGTTTTCATTGACTGATTTTCACAAGTATATAGCCAGCCCTTTCTTCCTAGTCCATCTTAGTCTGGAAGCTCTGTTGAAACCTGTTCAGCATTACAGCAACACGCAAATCTCAACTGACAAACACGTGGTAGCTGGGCATGAAGTGCTTTGGCCAGGAATCAAACCCAGGTCTCCTGCATAAAAGACGAGAATTCTGCCATTGAACCACCACTGCCCCCATGTTTGGGATAATTGGCCAAGACAAAGACTCACACCCCTAGAATTTGATAGAATGTACTCCACTGTGGTTCAGGTCCACCCAGAGCCCCTTGAAAGAAAGGCCTGGTGTTCTACTTCTGAAAAATCAGCCATTGAAAACCCTGCAGAGCACAGTTGTACTCTGACGCACATGGGGCCTCCATGAGTTGGAGTCAACTCGATGGCAACTGGTTTGTTTGGTTTTTTTACTCTACTGCAGTGCTCCTACTGAGGCAGAAGTGTCCATTCTGTTTGTTCCCTTGCAGGGCTCTGGCCAGAGGAGTGGTACGAGGGCGTCTGCGAGATAGCCACCAAGTCTCCCTTACTCACCTTCCCCAGCAAGGAGCCGCTGCGCTCTGTCCTACAGTACAATTCAGCGATGAAGAATGACACAGTTACCACGGTGAGGACGCCTGTCCTGTGGGAGTCCTGCAGCAGACACACAATGCCGGCGGGGCTGCTGCTAAATGCCCTTGAAGGATTAGAGAAGATTTCCGTTGTCCTTGTTAACGCATGTTGTTAACCAGGAGGATTTGTTTCCCCTGGGTTGGGGGTGCACACAGAGGCCTTGAGAATGTCTGTCCCCTCTAGGCTGAGCTGGGTGAGCTTCGCAGCACCATCATCAACCTGCTGGACCCTCCTCCTGAAGTGTCTGCCCTCATCAACAAGCTAGACTTCGCCATGTCCACCTATCTCCTGTCTGTTTACCGACTGGAATATATGAGGTATGCAAGCCCTTGCCTTCCTACACATCCATACTTGAGCTGCATTTTTATTTCTGTGCCCTGCTTGGCATGGGACTTTTTTACTTCCTTCCAAGACATCAAGCTTTCTAAAAAAGAAAAAAAAAAACTGTGCTTTTCTGAGTGCCCCTCCTTCGCGAGCACCAGACATCTGAAAACACACAGGTGTCTACACTCCATCACTCCCCCTCACATGGGACAGGCAACTGAGCAACCACAGTAGACGCTGCAGAGCCAGTCCACATGGTGGGCGAGAGCCCTTCTTGGGAACTGGCCCTCACTGAGAACCTGTTGCTGTCGAGTCAATTCCAGTTTATAGTGACCTTATAGGACAGAGTAGAACTGCCCCATAGGGTTTCCAAGGAGCAGCTGGTGGATTCCAACTGCCCACCTTTTGGTTAGCAGCTGTAGCTCTTAACCACTGCGCCACTAGGGCTGCCTCACTGAGAAGGGCATAGGAAACTCACTGAGCTGGTTTCCAGGCCCACAGCTGAGTACCAACAGCAAACGCTACATGAGAAGGGGCCTGGGCCACTACAACTCCACAAGTGATCTGTTGCTCAGGGTGCATCTGTTACCACAGCCATCCTAACAGTTAAAAAAGCTGTTAAGATCTGTAATTGTCAGCATGATGATATCAGCTGTTATATACCCATTTAATAGATGAGGAAACTGAGACACTGAGTAGTAAAGTTACCCAAGGCAGTAATCCCTGACTTGGATTCAAACCCAAATGCTCTCCTAACCATGATGCTATGCTGCAGAGGGCCTGCCGCTGGCTGGCCAGTGCAGATCTGGGCTGCACTCTTGGGCTGCAGCCAACCCGCCAGCTACAAAACTGAATTCCACGTTACCGATCCAGGTCTAGTTACGCTTAGCTTGCTTAAAACACAGGAGGAATTCAATACATTTAGAATTATTTGTTTCCCAAATGGTTTCAAAAGGGAAGTGTTAGTTCTTAAAAGGAGGGACATTTGGAAGACAGTGTTTTAACCTTTCTTAGATGCCATGAAACTCTTTGGTAATAGAAATCTTACATGGAAGCTAAGTATTATATTAAATAGATTAAGGCTGTTTTGGTTGACGTGGGAGTGAGCCCCCCTGTTAGCCTCCTCCCTGTCTCTCAGCAGTCCCTTAGCCTCCACAACTAGCAGAATTTGATAATTAGCAGTCCCCCATGATCCATCCACCCTGGAGTCCCACAGAGCTGAGGGAGTTTTGACTTTATTTTCTTTTTTATTGTAAATATATTTTTTTTCAATTATAAAAGTAATGTGTGAACATTACAAAAAACTTGGAGATAAGTGGAGGAAAAAAACCCACTGATTTCCCCACTGTCCTCTATAGCCTGTTAGTATAGTTCCTTCTAGTCTTTTTTCCAAAGAATATAGTTTCAAAGAAAACCAAATCAAAACAAAGCAAGCCAAGCCAAAGCAGAACACACACATGGTTTTAATTTCAGCATGTATGGCTAGGAGAGGTGTCACAGACCCTCAGCCTCGTGCGCAAAGCCAGGGCTGGCGCCTTCTGTCCCACAGGGTGCCCGCAAGTGGTGTGTGATGACTCTCAGGGCAGGCTCTTGAGTACCTGGCAGAGGAAGACTTTAAGGACACAGGCCGCAGGCAGCTTACACAAGCCCAATTTCTGCCTTGGGTTTCCTGCCAGGTTTTTGAGGGCACCCAGCTGAGGCCTGAGAGCTGCAAGGGAGAACGCAGATGTTTGTTTGTACTCAAGGACCTGAGTAAAGCCTTGGGTTATTGGGAGAACTTTGTAAGAAATTACTTTAAGGCCATGTGCCTGTGAGCACTCGAGTGTGCGTGCGGTTAACGCAGCCAGCCTGCCTGACGTAGACTTACATAGTTAAAGGTTTGTGTAGCACTAGGCACCGTCACACGTAAGCATGTGGCTGAGGGTCTTAGCAGAGCCCTCCACACTCTTAAGGGTCTGGCATTTCTTTCCTCTCTCCTCCTTTCCCCAAAGATTAAAGATATTTTTTTACTATGAAAGTAAAGATGTCCATGGTACACAAAACGAAGAGGGAAGAATTGGAATAGCTCAGAAAACGCTGAAGATGGAAAATACCAAATCTCCCTCTCCTAACCCTGACTCCTTCATTCCCACAACCCAGAGACACCCACTGGTAATACTCTTATTCTCCATCCTAGAAATTTTCTTTGCATATGCAAGCTTGTGCGTCCTACACGCACACAACACACTTACAGACCTTAAGAAAAACCACCCGTGGGACCGTGCTATATCAATTTTCCCTGCACCTTGTTTCTTCACATAATACGTCTCGGAGGTTTCTCTGTCACAGCACATGCAGAGGTACCTCTCGTTTTGGTGGCTGGATAATACGTCATGTCACCAGGTGGATGTACTTTGATTTATCTGACCAGCCTCCTGCTGATGGACTTTAAAATGTTTCCCTTTGGGGTAGTACAGTCTGTGCTGTTACCAGAATCCTTGTGCATGTCACCTTAAGATCTATCACTGGTGGCAGAATTGCTTGGTCAGAGGAATGCAAATGCTAGGTGTACAGTGTCCTCCAGAAAGTACACATCAGTTTATTGTTGTTGTCGGCTGCCATCAAGTTGGCCCTGACTCAGGGTGACCCTGTGCACAACAGAACGAAATGCTGCCCAGTTCTGCAGCATCTCCGTGATCAGTTGCAGATCAGACCATTGTGATCCACAATATTTTCATTGGCTGATTTTCAGAAGTAGATCACCAGGCCTTTCTTCCTAGTCCATCTTACTGTGGAAATTCTGCCGAAACCTGTTCAGCATCAGAGTAACACAAAAGCCTCCACTGACAGATGGGTGGTAGCTGCCTATGAGAGATGCAGTAGCAGGGAACCAAACCCAGGTCTGCTGCAGGGAAAGCGAGAATTCCACCCCTGAATCAGTGCTGTATTCCTTCACTCAGATCTGTTCTCCTTGTTAGGGTGCTGCGTTCCTTCACTGAGGTCTGTACTCCTTGTTAGGGTGCTACGTTCCTTCACTGAGGTCTGTTCTCCTTGTTAGGGTGCTGCGTTCATTCACTCAGGTCTGTTCTCCTTTTAGGGTGCTGCATTCATTCAAATCTGTTGTCCTTTTAGGGTGCTGCGTTCAACAGACCCTGATCGCTTCCAGGTGATGTTCTGCTACTTTGAGGATAAGGCTATTCAAAAAGACAAATCAGGTAAGCTTATTATGATGGTACCTCAAGATGAATTGAGCTGTAGGTAATATTTCTGATGAATATTATAAAAAGGAATACTACTCCCTGTTTTCTGTCTCATGGAGAAAATAATTTTAGGAAACCATATATTGCATGGGAAGGATTGGTGTAAAACATATCTCCTTAAAATAAGAAATTTTTCTGGCTTTGCCACTGCCAAGAGGCCCCAGAGCAGCAGCAGTGTCAGTTGTGCCCACCGTCGCCTCTCAAGTGCACTCCAGCATCTAGGTTTTGGTTCCTCTGCTGAAAGAGCCAGGGCACCTTGGGTGGTCATTGATGAACCTGGAACTTCTTATTGTTGTCAGGGAGCTATTGTGTTTGTAAATTGTCAGGAGGAGGATGAAAACCCAAGCAACCAATTTAAAGGGACTCCCAGTAGACAAATTGTCACAGTTTGGACAAGAATACAATATTTTATTCCCCTCCCTTGGCTATTTGAGACAAGGTTATTTTGCAAAAGGTATGAGTTCATAATTCTTCTCCAAAAAAAGCAAAGTTTAATATAAAGTACACAAGAAGATAGTTGTAATTACAAAAGAAGGGTGAATATACTAGGATATATATAGTTTTTGTTTCTTCCACTCAGTGTTTATACATGTAGCTATATAGACATGCAGCTGTCTCTCTGTGTGAGCTGCGACTGGGCGGTGCAGTCTGGGAAAAGGTCAGGTCACAGCAGTGGGGAGGACCAGTCATGCCTGGCCCCAGTGAGTGGCCAGGTAGAAAGGATGTCCCACAGATGATGAAGACGCCATCCCTTAGAGTAGGCAGTGAGGACTGATAGCCATGTGCCCTAACCGAAGAGGGACTTCTCACCTCAGTGCTGGTTGATGGGATCCCAGTCAGGCCCACAAACGGTTCCATTGACCACAGGAGACCAGTCCATAATGTCAGGGTCTGTGGGCCATGTCCAATTTATGGACTGCATCATTTCTGGGGAAGCTTCAGGGTATGAGAATCTACATGAAACACAAAGGCTCACAAGCCCCATAGTGCAGCATGTCCTCAGACCCTGAGTGCACAGGGTCTCAATATAGCCAGTCTCAACCAAGATCATCCAGTTCTAGGAAGACAGGAGTCCCTGAGCGGTGCAAATGGTGAACATGCTCGGCTGCTAACCAGAAGGTTGGAGGTTCAAGTGCACCCAGAGGCACCTTGGAAGAAAGGCCTGGCTATCTGCTTCCAAAAAATCAGCCATGAAAACCCTATGAAGCACATTGTATTAGCCTGTGCTGATTTATAAGATGTTTAAAAATTTAAGATACTCTGAAATATTAGTCCTATGTCTTAATTAAATTATTAATTTTAGAATTATGTTTAAATGTTTGAACGAATTTAGTTGGTTAAATCCATGAAATTTGATTTCATTAACTGTGTGAGTAAATATTTTGAGGAATGCTAATTGTTAAGTTCTTAAGAGTAATAAATTAAGTATTAATAAAGTACAACTAGTAGTTAATATTCCTGTCCATTCCAGAAGCTCTTGGCACATGGAAGAACCTGTCAACTTGTTCATGCAGCAGAAAAAATAATCCCCACAGGCTTCTGGTACCATTGCTTTTGGAGAAAAATCAATACTTGAAGAATCCTTTTTGACAAAACCACTCCAGAGACTCTGAAGGATGCTGCTCATGTCAGAGCTCCCTCTGCTGAGTTGTTTGCAGAGTAGTCCTTACTCCTGCACCACAGTGTCAGAAATTAGGTGCGGGAACTTGTCTTAGAGCTGGGAGCTAGTGGAGTGGTGAGGAAGGCTGGTGTGCAGGTTCTGGAAGCACCCTCTGCTGCCAGTGTTTGGAAGGATTGACATGAGCTGCAGACCAGGGTGAAAGGCAGGCAGCAGGCTATTTCTACAGAAAGAAGCTTCTTCTACTAGGGGTGCAAGATACAGGAGAGGTAGAGTCCTCTACTCAGAGGGACTCACACAGATGCCCCAGGACCTATTCAGGAGGTAGTACCAGTTGCTGTCAAGTTGATTCTGACTCATGGTGACCCCATATGTTGCATTGTAGAATTGGACTCATAGGGTTTTCATAGCTGTGAACTTTCAGAAGCAGATTTGCCAGGCTTATCTTCCAAGGTACCTCTGGGTGGGTTCAAACCACCAACTTTGTGGTTAGTAGCCAAGTGCCAACTTTGCAGTTATAGTTTGCACTACCCAGGGACCACTGGGGGTATAGTACAGGTGCTCTTAACCACTGAGGTGTCCATTCACTCCTCTCATTGATCTGTTCGTTGTTTATTTATTTAACAGCTATTTTGTGCCAAGTAGTTGGTACACCCTGAGAGTCTTTGGTTCTAGGAGGGAATGGAAGCCACAAAGAAGTAGAGACTGCCACTCCCCACCATAACCCAAGAACCTCCAAGTGAGCATATCTGGGACTGACTCAGAGTCGTTTGAAGCCAGGTGTCTCTCTGTCATGCTCTCCTGAGCTCTACTTTTCTGTTGCTGTGTCATAAGGTGAAATTAAACTGCACTGGGGACTGATTTGCTCTTCACAGGCACCTTCAGTCATCCCAGTGCATTGTACTCTTCCACGTGATTTCAAATTGATTATTAGACTTGTTTCTGTTTTGAGTATGGTATTAGATTAAGCCAGTGAATGTGTAACTATTAAATTCACTCCCTCTTCCTTTTCTCTCCTAAAACATGAGAGATGGGAAGGAAATGTGGGTTCTAATATAATTTCTGGTCTTTGGAGACATGTATTATTCATGAATTTTCAAAATGGGCCGAGAGAGGTGATATAAAACATTTCACAGCCCCTAGGAAGGGGAGTACCTCCCTTCCTCTGTGCAGCTGTAATCCGAGCCTCTGTGTGTTCCAGCTGGGCCAGGAATGTTTGGGCAGGAGCCTCCTGCTCACCTGTCAGCTGCCCTGTAATCCTGTAGCTAAGTCCAAAAAGAAGAGTGACTTTTTAGTAAAAATCTACTTAGATGCTACTACCTGAAACTACTTGGTATCTGATCCCTGTCTGATTACTAATTATTAGTTACTTAGTTTTCATTTCCTAACAGCTACACTACACACACCCCCAAGATAAGATTTCACCGTCACATCCCCAAAATCAGATCTTAGACCCCCTACACCCACAGCGTCTTCAGAAGGCAGGCTTTCTCTGCCCTTGGTCATCTGTCCAGGTCGCATGCATCACTTCTCCAGCTCTGAGAGCTGTGTTGGGGCCTATTCACTCTCGTAGCAAAAAGATAGAAAATACTTGTTTATGTTTCAGGCTCTGTGCTGGGCCCAGAGGCACAGAGGTGCTAGCACCTGCCTGGTCTCTCTGCCCGTGATAATCCCACAGTTCTGTATTTCACTGTCCTACTAAAGACAGAGTCCCTGGGTGGCACAAATAGTTAACGTGCTCAGCTACTAACTAAAAGGTTGGAGGTTTGAGTCTACCCAGGGGTGCCTTGGAAGAAAGACTTTCTGATCTACTTCTGGAAAATCAACCATTGAAAACCCTATGGAACACAGTTCTACTCTGACACACATGGCATCAGCATGAGTTGGAATTGACTTGACAGCAACTGGTTTGGTTTTAGTTAAAGACACTGGAGAAGCAGGACAGCATTGCGTTGTATGAAACAGTCCTTCCATCTGCTCTGATTCTCATTGTATTCTGTTGCTTTTTAAAAATATATTGAACTTCAGCGGCAGCTAGCACACCCAGTACTCAGAGCTTGGTTTCTAAAATACCCATTCTCCAATAAAGGGAACCTGGGCTACTTCGAGAAATGATTGATTCTAAAGTCAGGGCAGGGAAAATGCAAGATGTGTCAGAAAACAAACCACTGAGGCATATCAAAAGGACACGGGTGCCAGCTTGAAATATCTCAAAAATAGCCAAAGCTGGAGCAATTTAAGGAATGAAATAAATAATGATAGTATTGGATTATAACCCAAGGAATGAAATAAATATCCATGAATCCATGCTGGTACAATAGATGATTGACTGCGTAAACAAATGGGGAAGAAGGGACAGACCTTCCTTACAGAAGAATTCCAGTTACTAAATTCCAGTTACTAAAATCCCCGCTGCAACGCCACTGGAATCAACAGTAATACCTGTTCCAGGCAGGGTCTGCCTGTGGAGGCCAGAATTAAAACCAAAAACCAAACTCATTGCTGTCGAGTCGATTCCGATTCATAGCGACCCTATAGGACAGTAGAACTGCCCTGTAGGATTTCCAAGGAGCAGCTGGTTGATTTCAACTGCCGACCTTTTGGTTAGCAGCTGTAGCTCTTAACCACTGCATCAAAAAAGAAACGGGATATCTGTATAACCTCAAAATATCTCCCCCAAAATATTTATCAGTTATTGTGGTGGTTTTAACATCTGTCCACAAATTCTCTTGAGAAGGTCATGCAATTGCCTTCCCCTTGAGTATGGTCTGAATTTAGTGACTGACTTGTAAATAACAGAGTATGGAAAGGGAAAAAGAGTAACTTGATAGTGGAGACACCTGGCAGACCCTCTTTAGCCAGGTGATCAAAGTCAGCATCACCAGTGATAAGACATGTTGATACCATATACCCTTGATAGGAGGCAACAAGAGAAGCACATCATCTCTGCGATATTCTTCCTCAAAACCTGTAACTTTTGTCAAATCGTGAGAAAGCATCAGACAGACCTAAATTGAGACATCTTCATAACTGTGAAGGTCACGTAAGACAAGGAAAGACTGGAACTGTCACAGATCAGAGGGGACTGAGGAGATAGGACAACTGCATGCAGCGTAGGATCCTGGAACAAAAAAGGAACATTAGTTGGAAAATGGCCAATCCAAATGAAGTCTGAACTGTAGTTACTAGTATTGTGGCTATATACAATTCTTGGTTTTGACCAATGCACCATGGCGATATAAGAAGTTAATGTTAGGAGGGCTGGTGAATGGTGTGTGGGAGCTCTCTGTACGGTCTTTGCAACTCTTCTGCAAATCTAAAATGATTTCAGAATAAAAAGTTTGAAAGTACCTAGGCTGGGCCCTTTTCTGTTGATGCCTCTGACCGGCAATGCTTCCCTCTTGTTGTAGGGATGATGCAGTGTGTGATTGCCGTCGCCGACAAAGTGTTCGACGCCTTCCTGAACATGATGGCAGAGAAAGTAAGCCTTGTCAGAGTGAAAGCAGTGTCTGCTAGAGGTGTTTACAGGGCGTGTACCGTGCTGTCTCTTCTGAATGTCTAGGCCAAGACCAAGGAGAACGAAGAGGAGCTGGAACGGCACGCACAGTTTCTGCTGGTGAACTTCAACCACATCCACAAGAGAATAAGGAGGGTGGCCGACAAGTATCTGTCTGGCCTGGTGGATAAGTGAGTTCATTTTCTTTCTAATGCTTTGTGTGTATATATATGTGTGTCTGTGTGTGTGTGTGCGTGTGTGTGTGTGCGCGCTCGCGCAAGTGGATGCGTGAGTATAGTATGTGTGTGTGTGAGTATACGGTAAATTTTAGCTATATAATGATAAGCTTTTGTGATTTGGGATGCAGGGGAAATCATCCTTGCATAATCAGTCCAGAAAAACACGCAGTCAGAATCAAAGCTCTCAGCGGTGATGCCGCCTCCCCCAGAGTGTCATGAGTTTTCTGCAGGGTCTGAATTGTGATTCTGAGACTTGCATTTATTCTGAGCTGTCAATTTTAAAGTACGGACAATATGTGTCTTGCTAATCTCAGGGTGTCATGTCCCTTATGTCTTTGATTTCCATATGGTCTGGCAGGACCTGGACCAGTGCCTTGTCCTGTGTCAGAGCCCTCCGGGCTCGGTTTTGGGAGGCACAGCTATCTTCGCCCAGTGCCGGCACCCCCACTCACAGCAGGATCAGACCATCGTGGTCCATAGGGGATCAAAGCCCTACACTGACCCAGTCTCGCTGTAGACTTTGTGCTGATCACTAGAGCAGTCCCTTTGGGGGCATGTCCCCACACTGAGGAGGACCCAGGAAGGTGGGCCAGGCCAGCCTCCCTGCAGCATGAGTCCAGGGGCAGCAGCTTCTCACACTGAGCCCATCTGCAGCTCACAGCAGGGTGTCCTGGAGTTTGGGAGCTAGCCACAGGCCCTAACCCAAGCACCAATCCAGGCACACATGTGGCATGTGTCTAGAACTGGGCATCCTGAGCAGTAAGTCACGGATGAGTCACATCTGTGCAGACACTGACCCCTCAGCCCTGGGGACCACTGAAGCCCACAGCCTGGCACTTCGAGGAGCAGGCAGTTTCTTGTCTTCACCCCAGGGTTTCATGCAAATACTGTCATTTTCTGTTTATGCCATTATGGGGAAATACAGGGGAGCCATGGCTGAACAGCGGGAGAGTCGCGTTGGAGAGTTGGGGGTACAGCCTGGCTAGTGCATAGCCAAGGTGACCAGAGGAGTGGGCCTCAGGCACCTCTGACTGGGCACGGCCACCTCACTGCAGAGCACCTAGGAGGGGTATGCCCACCTGGGAAGCTCGTATCTCCTCCCTCCTAAGCTACTGCAGGTGTGTTCTGGGCTGTGCAGAGACAGCCGTGGAGGTGGGCTCTCCCCAACCCAGGTGGTACTTTAAGGTGCATGGGTTCCTTGGGGACCTGGCTTCTGGCCCTGAGAGCTGTTTCTGGATACAGGTTCCCTCATCTGCTCTGGAGCGGGACAGTGCTGAAGACCATGCTGGACATCCTGCAGACCCTGTCGCTATCGCTGAGTGCTGTGAGTTCCCTGGGCCTGGGTGCCAGTCAGCCTGCTACCCACCGGGCATTGTGCCTCTGACCAGGCACCTGAGCGTGACCGATGCTACAGGGGCTGAGTGGGGGCAGGGACGAATCCCACCCTGGTGCTTCCCGGAAGCCACAGCAGGCTTGGGAGAATGTCAGACATGTGTGGCGGGCAGCAGGGCAAACTGGAGGACAGTTTGGGCAAGGACATCCTCCTTTGCTTCTAGGATATTCACAAGGACCAGCCGTACTACGACATCCCCGACGCCCCCTACCGGATCACGGTTCCTGACACATACGAGGCCCGAGAGGTAAGCCAGTACTTGCCTGTCATAAGGGCCATTTTCCCTGCTAGTACGTCACATGCCCTACTGGGCACAGTATGCAGTGAGGTCACCTCGTCCCTGGCCTTCTGAGGTAGGAGGAGAAGGAGCCCCGTCCCTCACTGAAGGAACTGCGCAGTTTGTCAGGTTACATGTATGAAGTACTCTGTGGCTCCCTCCCTATTCCGTCTGTATGTCCTCAAAGTCTGCACTCTCCACTCAGCCCTGCTGGCTTCCAGCTGTGTTCTTGGTTTAGCTGCCAAAAAAGGTTCTCTGCTACCAGATAGTACGTGCCCTCTCAGACCTACATTGAACAAGCAGGATTTTGAGATGAACCTCACCTCCCTGAGGTATACTGACTTCTTCCTTATCATTACAATGTAGGATCATGACTTTGGCTTTTTGCTACACTGTGGGAAAACTGACAGATAAGTAGCTCCAGTGAGGAGGTTTGTTTTTATCCGGTACTAGGCGTCTCCCTCCCCAGCTGGGTCTATAATTCAAGAGCCTTCACTAGGCAGGGTTGAGGCCTCAGCTCAGGTGGGAACTCCCCTGGGCTGATCACATCCCACCCAGGGCTTCCCTGCCGTGGCTGTATGCAGGATGTGGTACTTGTGATGGTTTTTGCCCCCCGGAACTTGCCCTCCCCTCCCATCGCTGACTTGTGGGCTCTGCTACACAGGGGCAGCGTGATGTGCTGTGAGCGCATATCCTACCACATGCCTCAGACACTGGCCACAGGCCACATGGGAGCAACTCCCCGCAAACGGCTCAGTGTCACACGCGGTCAGCACAGTTTGCACCTGCCTGCCCTCTGACTGCCCAGGTGGATGGGCCTCAGGTCGTTTAACAGTAGGCACCCATTTTCCAGAGCATTGTGAAGGACTTTGCTGCGCGCTGTGGAATGATTCTACAAGAGGCAATGAAGTGGGCGCCGACGGTCACCAAGTCCCATCTGCAGGTATTCTCTTGAACTCATCGAAGAGCGATCCATAAGCCCCTCCATGCTACCCAGCGAGCTTTATGCAGGCACGGGGATCTCAAAACCAGCAGCACTAGGTGTGAATAATAAAACCAGTTGCCACCCAAGTCAGCTCTGATTCATGGCACCCCCGTGAGTATCAGAGCAGAACTGTGCACCATAGGTTTTCAGTGGCTGGTTTTCTGGGAGTTGATTGCCAGGCCTTTCTTCAGATGTGCCTCTGGGTAGACTAGAACTTCCAGCCTTTCAATTAGCAGCCGAGCACTTTAACTGTTTGTACCAACCAGGGATTCTGTGAATAAATAGAGACCAAAAATATTGAGCTGGTGCCTGAGAATAGTGGAAACTTCCGAGACAGGTGAGGCAGTGAGGAGGGCTGGTGTGTGTGAACTGGTGTGTGAATGGGCAAGCAGGCCAGGGGACCCAATGCCTCACGTGCATGAGGCTCTGTGTCCTATAGCAGGATCTGGGGGCAGCTGGCAGGATGGGTGAGGGTAGGCATGGTGGGCGTGGGCTAGCAGCAGCAACTCTGAGGGGCTGGAGAGAAGCAGAGGGGAGTGTCATGGACTGTGTGTCTGCCCAGTGGACACGCTCCCTGGGCTGCGTACACGCATGTGCGCATATGTCTTTTTAGAGAAGGGCATTTGGCTTGGAACACAGATGACTGCGAGGTAAGCCATTGCCCCAGAGATGGCCAAGCAGAGGCAGAATGGCAGCGCCACAGTGTAGACAGGCAGGAGTCACCTTGAAGTGGGTCAGAGGTGAGGACAAGGCCACCAGAAGAAATCTGGGCTAACCTGAGCAGGTGTTGGGAGCAAGCTAGTGAGGGTGACCTGGTGGCACTGTTTAGGATGAACCTGGTTCAGCAGTGCTGCTAGGTTGGGATCCAGGAACGACAGAGCCCCTAGCTCTAGGGGCCTTGGAGGCTGCTATTATTTGCAAGAACCCATGGGTTGTGCCTAAGAGTGGCTGTGAGGGTTCTTCCTTCCACAAAGATGTAGGAGTGGAATAAGAATGAACCAGAAGAGAGCAGATTCACAGGTAAGCTGGACAGAGTGGCCTTATGACTAAGCCATGCCTGCAACTGATGACCTGTATCTATCTCATCTTTGCCCTAGAATTCTCCAGACTGCAGTAGGTTTCTCAAACTGTCAATATTTGAGAAATGTGTGACTTCTGGTTCATGCAAAGGAAAAGGGCCTCAGCTCCTAAGGCTGCAGTCTAAGGGGGGAGGCCCCCTTACGCCTAACAGCTTCACTAGACAAAAAAGTGGTCAATAGAGAGAGTGTTTTGTTTTCTCTGGCATTCTCTCAGACCGGGCTTAAGAAGGACGTGGAGAGTGAAAGGCTTGAAAAACGAGCTTGATATTCTACCAGGCACTACGCAGTACCCCCTGCCCTGTTGCCCTTGCACGCTGTGCAGTTCTGAGTCCCCCTTGCCCACCTCTATGAGGCTGTCACTCTCAGCTTCACTGTCCCCGTCCTCTTCTCCACGCGGCCCACCAGAGCAGTCCACTTTGATAGAAAACCTGGTCTGTGTACTTCCCTGCTAAACCTACTCACCAGCGACTCCCCATTACCATGGGCTCCCTGAGTGGGTTTCCAGGGTCAAGGAACCCCTACTAACCCTGGCTACATTTTGTTTGCATGCTCATGCGAATTTTCTGGTGAAAGTTGTGTGATTCGCTCTAAGCACCTTTGGCACTTGAGGCCTCTCCCGCCTGGCCCCCGCCTCTGGCCCCTTGTACTCGGTGCCCCTTTGGTTCCCAGGCCTGTGTCCCCCCTCACACCTCCACACTTGCCAGGTGTTGCTCCAGGACTCAGACTTGTCCTGGTCCCTGCTGTCTGTCCCGGCCACCCCACTGGAGCAGGGGTGCTGCAACGGTAGGAGGAAGACACACCCCACCCCTCACTGCCTGCCTCTTTTCCTTTAAAATAAAATCACATTTTCTCCCTGTTTTAGGAATACCTGAACAAACATCAGAACTGGGTATCAGGACTGTCCCAGCATACTGGGCTGGCCATGGCCACTGAGAGCATCCTCCACTTCGCTGGCTACAACAAGCAGAACACGACTCTCGGGGTAGGTGCCAACCTCCTGAAGAGCAGGTTTCCCTAAACCTGGGGGCAGGCAGCAGGCGGTCGTTGGAAACAGACAGCCTCTTCTTCTGCTGATATTTTGAATGTATGGATTATAGAAATTTGGGCTCAATTCAGTAATGAGGTCACGTTTCAATTTCTGAGTGTCCACATCCCAGGGGAGGGAAACTTGTCTCCACTAGACATGGGCAACATTCTCCTTTAGTCACATGTATCTGGCATGCTCCCTGGACTTCATTATAGTTTTGTTTTGAGCAGGTGCTACGCTACACACAAACGTCATCTGTCCTTTCTTATTCTGATCTAGATGAAGTTAAGAGGACAGTAGACTCATTCTGACCAACCAGTTGCCAGCAAGTCATCTCCAACTCATGGCACCCCCACGTGCGGCAGAGTAGAACTGTGCTCCATAGGGTTTTCAATGGCTCCTTTTTTGGAAGTAGATTGCCAGGACTTTCTTCCGAGGCACCTCTGGGTGGACTCCTATTGCCAGCCTTTTGGATAGCAGTCAAGCATGTTAACTGCCTGCACCACCACCCAGGATTCCAGCAGAGGCATTAGGTCGTGCTTTCTCCCCTGAGGTAAATGATAGCTCAGGGTCAGAATAGGCCGTTGGCAACTGGTGCTCTGACCGGCTGTTTTGGAGTATGGCAACCTCAGTCACCAGCAGTGGAGACTCCTGGTTAATTTGGACGGGAGTATGGCTGTGTGCCTCACATGCTTCACTGCACTTTCGTAGAAGCATGGAGCGGGAAGGTTGCCTGCCTGTCGTGTGAGGGTGTGACACGGTGGAGATGCAGAGGCTGAGACCCTGGGAAGGAAGGTGCCAGGACTGCCCTGTGGTTTATCATCATGCCCTCAGACCCCCAGCTGAGCCATGCGTGGCCAGATTTATGGGCCGAGCTACCGCCCCTGGGCCCTCCCACTCTGGCAGGGCAGGGGGGCGGGAGATCAGCTCTGGGCACAGCTCCCAGGCCTAGAACTCTTGATACTTTGAGTACACAACCAGAGGCCAGAAGCGGAACTCATAAACTAAAAAAGTTCGTGACAGATTGCCGTCCTCTTCTAAGCTCAGCTAACTCCCAAGAGATCTGTTTTGCCTACAAGATTTTAATCACTGTCCTCAGAAAATTAGATTGTTAGGCTTTCCCTCTTCTGTTGCTAAACAAGAAAGAGTATTTTCGTATTGTGTCCTCATTGTTGGTGTGCTCGAGATCCTGACTGAGCAGCACCTGCTCCATGGGAGGCAGGGGAGGCTGCAGGCCCCCCACTGAATAACTCCAGCCACTCAGAATACAGCAGAGGGGAAGAGCCTTCTCAGAGGGGCAGCTTTGGAAGAATGGTCTCAGACCAGTGGGTCGTCCCACTTGGAGGACTGAGTCAGCAACCTCCACAGGAGCCCTCACCACCTGGGTGCCGGGCCATGGTCTTCTTCTCCAGCTCTGCCTTGTGATGACATATCATACATGGAGCAGTCGGGGGCAGACAGGGCAGGGGGGGAGCTGGATCACACTGTGGCCCACCCCAGCAATTGAGAAATTCATTTTCCCTAGGAATGTCTGCTTTTCAAGAAACTGAGAGGTTGTGTTGATCTGTAGTAAAAAGATGCTGAAGGGAAGGTGTGAAAATTGGTCATTTGCCTGCAGCCTCCTTTGACACCAGGCTGAGTTGTAGCTGAAGAGCACAGTAGTAATGACAAGCCAGGGGCAAGGAAGAGGAATCCCCAAAACTCCAGGGTCCGGGGGTGGGGGGACAGCGCTGTGACACTGTGAAGGGGACACAAGAAGCCGAGGGCTCCTGCCCAGTGCCCAGGCTTCTCTGGGTGAAGTGGGAGTCAGAGAAGGCACCCCAGGAGAGAGTGGCTTTAGGCAGGTTTGGTTGGGGCCACCCAGATGGAGTCTGAACGTTCCTCCACATTCCTAGCTTAGCTGTCTGCTGAGTTCTGTGTTTAACACTTCTGTGTCTGCCCACCGGCTCTGTGACTCCTGCCTGCAGGCTGGTCCCCTCAGCAGAGGCTTCTGGAGCCAGCAGCTCCGTGTCCCCTGTAAGCACAGCCATTTCGAACGTTTTGCTGGCTGAGGCCCTCTGTTAGACCATCATTTCTCAGGGGGCCTCTTGTTTCTAAAACTAGTGTTACTGCACATCTGCTGTGTATAAGCACTCACAGTGCAAGCTTGTCGAATCTTCACACATCCTGTGAATTGTGTGCTCTTATTGTCCCCATTGTGTGAGGACATGAAGAAAGGATGGCCCCTGCCTGAGGCTCCTCCACTGGTGGGTGCCAGGAGCCCCTGACCACACTGTCCACCACGGTGCTATGGCCACCTCCGTTCAGAAACACATGCACCAGTCCCTGTTTCCCTGACATTCACTCCTCTGATCCCAAGGCCCCTCCTAAAACCCTTTTGGTGAGGAGCTTTGTTTTCAAAGTTCTCAGTAAAGATGTGTACTGAGCTACCTCTGGGCCCAGACCACACTCTTCACAGAACTCGAGCTGCTTCCCCTGTACGGTGTCCCTGCTAGTACTCCTGATCCGCAATTTCGTGTGGAGGCTGCCCGTGTGCTGCTGAGTTTACACGGATCTAAGCCCCTCTGAGGCTGCTCTCTGCAGCAGTGGTGGAGTGATAATGGAGTGACCCTCCAGTCCCTGCTGAGGGACCACCCACTGGGTTGGGAGCAGTGACACTTCGGCAGGGGCACTGTGAGGACCTCAGAGAGCAGGATGAGGGTGCAGCAGGGGCTGCCCAGAGGTGTGGTGCCCAGCTGATTCTGTGGGTCAGATGTAGAGGCCCCTCCCACAGGCTCTTTCCCCAGGATGTGTAGAAACAGAAGATATCTGCTCCCACATCAGGCTTCCTAAACGAGGCACAAGTGTTCAGCCTCACAGTGGTTATCTCACTCTGTACTTCTGACTAGATTGACCACCTGACGTCACTGATGAGCTGAGCCTTTGCACTCACCTCTGCAGACCCACCTCTCGTCTTCCCTGTCTGAAGTCCCCATCAGATGTGTTCCTGTGGCCCCTTCCTCCCCCACATCACCGTCCTGGGAATATTCCTCTGTTTCACCACTACAGCCTCCTGTCCTGCTTCCCGGCAGCCACTGTCCCAGCGGCCCTCTTTACTCGCACCCACTGCTCAGTGCCCCATTGCCCCGTCCAACCTGTGCTCCAGGTGGCTCCCACTGCAACTTCATAGAACAACAGCAGCTACCACCTATGAGTGCTTGGTGTGGCGGCATTATCCTAAGCACTGAACATATGTTTGGCTTATTTAATACCCACTCTACTCACGAAGTAACCCTGGTGACATAGTGGTTAAGCGGTATGGCTGCTAACCAAAAGATTGGCAGTTCGAATCCACCAGGCGCTCCCAGAAACCCTATGGGGCAGTTCTGCTTGGTCCCTTTGGGTCACTTTGAGTCAGAATAGACTCGACAGCGATGGGTTTGGTTTTTATACTCAAAAAAACCCTACAAGGTAGATACTGCTCTTGTCACCGTGTTACAGAAGGGGAACTAGGGTCAGACAGCTGCAGAGGGCAAAGCTGGGATTTGTCTCAGTCTGGTTCTAGAGCCTACCTCCTCCCGCCTCCCTTCTCCCTCCATCCCCATTTCCAGATGCCCCAGGGTCCCTCAGTAGAAAGGAAGGGGCAGAGCCCAGCTCTGTGTACTCCAGAGTCCGGGCTGTCCCCACTGTGCCCCACTGCCCCTTGACAAGGCCATCCACCTCTGTTTCCCTGACCACGTGCAGACCCACCCTGTGTGGTTGCTTTAGCTCTTTATCCCCTTCTGCGTCCAAGCTGTGTCCCTTTTATCTTCTACGGTTAGACTGGCTCTGTTCCCACTGCTTCCACCTTCAGTTGCCTCTGCCATCTGAACATCACATACATGCCAGGACGTGCCTGAGGAGACCTCCTGTGAGCATGAACTGTCACAGCAGTGCCATGGCAGATTACAGTCATTCTCACAACAGCCTAGTGATTATTTTTGTTGTAAAGATCTGTCTGCACTGGGAGTGAGTGTGTAGTCAGGACAGCAGAGTGAAGCTATATAGTACAAGCTGCCTTCCAGAGAAACTTCTCATACCAAAATGCCAATGTTTTTCTCCCCATGGGTCATATCAGACTAAAGAGTGTTCTAAAGTGTTTCATTTTATTAACTTGCCGACATTGAAGACTTAATAACCACGGACTTCTTCATTGGGCTTAGCTGTGGTAGATGTGAGAAAATCCTTATTGTTGCAACAGTCTGAAATACTTACTGATACTTGTCTGTAGGCAACTCAGCTGACTGAGCGTCCAGCCTGTGTGAAGAAAGACTACTCCAACTTCATGGCGTCCCTGAATCTGCGCAACCGCTACGCTGGAGAGGTACTTCCCTTCCCTCATGTCAGAGGCCCTTCCAAGCGTCTGAGTGTCCTGATGCCAGTGGGCACTTTCCAGATGAAAGATATTTCAGGTGTCTGGATGGATGTGAAGAAGACAATAAAACTTGCTATCTCAGGTGGACATGATGAACTTGGGGCCTAAGATGCATGCTTCTGGAATGTTCTGAAACATGACAATTACCACCTCCGCAGGAGGGTGGCTTCATGTACACATACTCCAGCTACGCTGAAGCGTTCTGATTTTTTGGCAGTTTTTCTTTTCTTAGTTGTAGCGAACATTTACTGAGTGCCATGCATTATCCTGGGTGAAGGAACTGAGGCACTGAGACAAAGTAACTTGCCGAAGTCCAATAGGTGGAAGTGGATCGGGAGCCCTGTCTTCTGACTCTATGTTGAGGCCTCCCATCCCCCACACCATAGTGGATTCCAGCTGGTTGACCACTTACTTCATCTCTGTGGGCCTCAGTTTCCTTATCTGTAGACCCCAGAAACTAGTCTACACCATCTAAGGTCCCTGGGAACCCTGAAAGTCCGTCAGTGCCCTTTTTTCAGTTGGCTGTGGTATCTGCATCCCCTGGGGGAGGGGGGCTGCTTCCCCTGCAGGGCTTGTTGATTCCAGTGGCTGGTCTTCCATGTGAACCTCAGCAGGTAGGACTCCAATCCGCTCAGCTTCCACCGCACACCACCTTCTCAGCCTCTGAGAATCGATTGTAGAGCCTGTCCCGCATTGTTTTGAATACTCCAGTGGTGGTGGGAATGCTGTCTTTTGGGGATAGATTTGTTTTTTGGAAAAAGTCAGACTTCTTTTGCAGTCAGTCTTAGAAATAAGAAAGCAGCACTTTTCTAGGGTGGGGGGGAAGGTGCAACTTTAAAGATAGGGAGGCTGATATTTTTGATGACTCACTAATTGACCCTGAAGGAACTTGATTTATTCAGCCCACGTTCATAGTGTCCTACTGTGAGTCAGACCCGGCTCCGCTAGAATGCACAGATGACAAGACCAGGTCCCTGCGCTCAAGGGACGTCTAGGGTAGTGCGAAGGCCAGCATGCATTTCTGAAAGTGAAGTTCCAGAAGAGCTGTGAGCAGCATGAAGGTTACTTAAATGAGTCTGTCACTCTCTGTATGCGTAAGTCCTAGTGTGAGGCAGTGACACCTGCCTGTCCTGCCATGAGTGCTCAGGTGGCTGCCAGGTGGCCGGGATCACGTGACCAGCATGATGTTTCTTGCAGGTCTGTGGAATGATCCGGTTCTCAGACGCTACAGGCCAAATGTCCGACCTGAACCAAATGATGGTCCAGGAGCTGAGTACAGCATTGGACCTTGGCAGCCCTCAGGACTATACACAGGCCATGTTCAAGCTGACCGCCATGCTCATCAGCAGCAGAGGTGAGGAGGCTGGGATGTAGCCTGAATTACCCTTTGTGAGCTGGCATTCTGGCAGAATGAGCAGTTGGAGCTCCTTCAATAGAAATCTCTGTCACATCTTTTGGAGGTAAAAAGTAAATAAAAGGCCAGCCTTTTATTACTTGAACCATTGGCCCCAGCTGGTGCGGACTTTGTGGTCAGTCTTGGGGGATTGCATTTGTTGTCAGTGTTCAGAGGCATCTAAGCACCTTGTTTCCTTCCAGATTGTGACCCTCAACTCCTCCATCACCTGTGCTGGGGTCCCCTCCGGATGTTCAATGAGCATGGCATGGAGACCGCTCTGGCTTGCTGGGAGTGGCTGCTGGCTGGCAAGAATGGCGTGGAAGTGCCGGTAGGACCAGGGTGCAGGCCAGCTCCCAGGAGCAGGAGTGAGCACTGGGAGGGCAGTAGACAGAGCCCACGCTGGCTCTGCTGCTGGCGAGCTCAGAGACCTGGGCAGGCCCCTTAGCCTCCTTACATGTGAAATTATGTTCCTCGTGCTTAACCACAGGACTGCTATGAGGATTAGAGAAAATACACGTGAAAAGCATCCCAGCAGTGCCTGAACCAGTTGCTGTCAAGTCAGCTCCAACTCATGACGCCCCCATGTGTATCAGAGTAGAACTGCTCCATAGAATTTTCTTTTTCTTTATTCTATTCTTGTACTTCAAGTAAAAATTTACAATTCTAGTCTCTTATACAAACATTTAGACACACATTGTTATGTGACCCTAATTGCTCTCCCTATACTGTGACAGCACACTCTTCCTTTCCATCCTTGATTTCCCGTGTCCATTCAACAGCTCCTGACCTTCTCTGCCTTCTCATCTCACCTCTGGACAGAAGCTGCCCATTTAGTCTCATGTATTTACTTGAGCTAAGAAATACGCTCTTCACAAGTATCATTTTATGTCCCATAATCCAGTCTAATCTTTGTCTGAAGAGTTGACCTTGGGAATGGTTTTAGTTCTGGGTTGACAGAGAGTCCCGGGGCCATGCTTTTTGGGGTTCCTCCAGTCTTAGACCATTAAGTCTGGTATTTTTACTAGAATTTGAGTTCTACACCCCACTTTTCTCCTGCTCCATCAGGGACTCTCCGTTGCATTCCCTGTCAGGGTGGTAATTGGTGGTAGCCAGGCACCATCTTCTGGTCTCAGGCTGATGAAGTCTCTGGTTTATGTGGCCCTTTCTGTCTCTTGGGCTAATACTTTCCTTGTGTCTTTGGTGTTCTTCATTCTCCTTTAATCCAGGTGGGTTGGGACCAATTGATGTATCTTAGATGGCTGCTTGCTAGCTTTTAAGACCCCAGACACCACTCATGAAAGTAGGATGCAGAACATTTTCTTAATAAACTTTGTTATGCCAATTGACCTAGGTATCCCCTGAAAGCATGGTCCCCAGATCCCGGCCCCTGCTACTCTGTCCCTTGAGGTGTTCGGTTGTATTCATGAAACTTCTTAGCTTTGGTTTAGTCCAGTTGTGCTGACTTCCCCTGTAGTATGTGCTGTCCTTCACCTGAGATAATTCTCATCTACTGTCTAGTTAGTGAATAACCTTTCCCTCCCTCCCCACACTCGTAACCATCAAGGAATGTTTTCTTCTGTGTTTAAACCTTTTCTTGAGTTCATATAATAGTGGTCTTACACAATGTTTGTCCTTTTGTGACTGACTAAATTCACTCAGCATAATGCCTTCCAGATTCCTCCACGTTAAAAGATGTTTCATAGATTCATCGTTGTTCTTTATCGTTGCATAGTATTCCATTGTGTGAATATACAATAATTTGTTTATCCATTTGTCCATTGATGGGCACCTAGGTTGTTTCCATCTTTTTGCTATCATGAACAGTGCCACAGTGAACATGAGTGTGCATGTATCTATTCGTCTGACGGCTCTTATTTCTCTAGGATATATTCAGGAGTGGGATTGCTGGATTGTATGGTACTTCTATTGCTAGCTTTTTAAGGAAGCGCCAAATTGATTTCCAAAGTGGTTGTACCATTTTACATTCCCGCCAACAGTTTGTAAGTGTTTCAGTCTCTCCACAACCTCTCCAGCATTCATTATTTTGTGTTTTTTGGATTAATGCTAGCCTTGTTGGGGTGAGATGATCTCTCATGGTAGTTTTGATCTGCATTTCTCTAATGGCTAATGACCATGAGCATTTATGTGTCTGTTAGCTGCCTGAACATCTTCTTTGGCGAAGTGCCTGTTCATATCCTTTGCCCATTTTTTAATTGGGTTATTTGTCTTTTTGTTGTTGAGGTTTTGCAGTATCTTGTAGATTTTAGAGATTAGATGCTGATTGGATTTGTCGTAGCCAAAAATTTTTTCCCTTTCTGTAGGTTGTCTTTTTACTCTTTTGGTGAGGTCGTTTGATGAGCTTAAGCATTTGATTTTTTAGGAGCTCCCAGTTATCTAGTTCTTTTCTGCTGTTTGTGCATTGTTAGTTATGGTTCGTATTGTATTTATGCCATGTATTAGGGCTCCTGGTGTTGTTCCTGTCTTTTTCTTTTTTTTTTAAATAATTTATTTTTGTTATTGTTGACAATATATACAGCAAAAACATACACTAATTCAAGTTTCTACATGTACAATTCAGTGACATTGATTACATTTTTCAAGTAGTGCAATCATTCGCACCCTCCTTTTCTGAGTTGTTATAGGGTTTTCAATGGCTGATTTTTCAGAAGTAGATTGCCAGGCCTTTCTTCCAGGATGCCTCTGGGTGGACTCGGCACTCCAGCCTTTGGGTTAACAGCCAAGCACGTTAATCTTTTGTGCCACTCCTTCAGTGGTGCCTTAAAAAAAAAAAAAAAAAAACCCACTGCTGTCAAGTTGATTCCAACTCATAGGGCCCCAAAGGGTTTCCGAGCTGTAAATCCCTATGGAAGCAGACTGCCACATCTTTCTCCCTTGGAGCCACTGGTGGTTTCCTACCACCAACCCTTCAGTTAGCAGTTGATCCCTTTATCACTGATGCCTAGAAGGTGTTATTTTTCAAAGATTCAGCAGGGGGAGCAATTTGTATACTGAGATTGAAAGACGTTCTCATTTGTACACCTCTTGACATGATTTGGAGCAGTTGTTTGTCCACAAGGTCATTGGTCTCAGGTAGCTAACTCTGGGAGCAGCACCCTTTTCCTTTCTCTGTACTTCTGAATTTGCTACTGGACAGCGCCTAGTGGGAAGGTTATACTCACATATCAGCTGATTGGATGAACACCTAGGAACTGTGTTTTTCTCAAAGATCTATTAACTTTCCTGATGGCAGTAGATTTGACATGTTTTTTCTTTCTTTCTTTGGGGGGAGGGGGGACTTTTTAAATTTTTTTTATTGTGTTTTAAATGAAGTTTATATCTGTTTGTGTTAGTTTAGGTAGGTAGTGAGTTTCTAGAAATTTGTCCATTTCCTCTAGGTTTTCAAATTTGTTAGAGTACAATTTTTCATAGT